TGTGAAAAAAAATCAACAGAAAACAAAATCATGTTATTGCATTCTATCTTAGATACAGTTGCTTTCCAGAGGCTAGCAGCCTGAGGCCTGCTTTATGTTTGTTTAGGAGGGAGGCTGGCATGGTTATAATGATGTTAAGGGCCTATTAACACCCGACTGACACTCTTCTGGAGAAAATCTGAGAGATTAAAAAGGAAATGAAAGGGTATACCTTGCTCTCTGTGTGAGTTCATGTCGTGTAAAACCTGTCCCCATACTTTTGAAAATTCCCTTGGAGTGGATTCTCTGTCCACACTTAAGGAAACACTTGGCTGGGATGATGGCTGGGGATGTTCTTTGAAAGGGATGAAGTGCTTTAAGAATATAAGTGATTGGCATAATAATTCTTATCTTCATTTTTAACATGTTTTGATACCTCTCTCTTAATAGGTGATCAGTAATAATAATGAAAAAATGAGTCACTGCATACAGAATACTTAGGTCAGTCTGACACCAGTGGGAAATATTATCCTCCAGTGAGTGATGAGGAACTTGCCACCTCCTGAGACAGCCACTGGACCATGAGCACCTTTGTTGAATTGCCTGTCGGACAGCTCTGGAGGCCAGGTGTCCGTTCTTGGGGTGCACACACCTGCTCACCTGTACCTTGGTCCTGCTCTGTGCTGGGGAGACTCACAGACTATCTTCCCTGTCTCATGCAGATTGGAGCTCTGGGTATTTGGAGACTGCTTCTCATTCTGCCTAAAACAGGGCTTGCAAACTCAAATGACCAAGGGATGTCAATTAGTGAAGGAGGACAGGTGGGAGTAATGGGGAATAGTGGGGACTATGGTCAATTAGAGGGTATGTCCCCTATCTAAAGGGGACATCCCTACTCTTCACCTGTTGATGGTTGTCATGGAAGCTCAGTGTGGCCAGAAACTGAGATGTTCTAAGAAACGATGAAAATTTGATGTTGGATGTAAAATCTCCAAGTTTTAAATGTTAGCAATGTGTTAGAACATTGTAAAACATGGTGTGGACTAAAACCAAACCAACAAACATGGTGTGGACCACAGGTGGCTTTCTGGTTAAGTCTGACCCACAGCCATAGTTGCTCATCACTGTCCCCAAGACTTCCCTTTGGGCTGGACAGCCCTGTCCTCTTCAGGCCAATGTTTGTATGTGTTGGTTTCTAGAATTCCCAACATTGTAGTCAGCCCCTCTGCATGCCTTTGAATATTGCCCGACTCCTTCTCAGCGTGTGTCTGCTCCTCTCAACTGCCGTACCTCTACTCATCCTTTGAGATTCAAGTCAGTCGTCCTATACTCTGGAGAGCCTTCCCTGATAACTACAGGCATAGTGGCTCTTCCATTTTCCAGCTGTGTGATGTTGGGTATATTACTTAATCTCTCTGTGCCTCAGTTTTCTTATCTAGAAAATGGACATGATAATAGTACAATTGGTCCCCAACTTAGAATGGTTTGACTTAATGACTTTTCAACTTTACAGTGAATTTATTGGGAGTGTTTAAAATATTTTTGACTTAAGATATTTTTCCCTTACCATGGGCTTATCAGGTCATGACCCCATCATAAGTCAAGGAGCATCTGCACCTACTTCAGTAGGTTGTTGGATTTAATGGATTTATAGATAGATAGACAGACAGATGGACAGGGACTTCCTAGAAGGCAGAGCTGGTTCCCAATTCATCTCTGTCACAGAGCAGGTGTTGATTAAATGTGTCTGCTCACTCAAGGCAGGGGGCTGAAATCAACATATGGTCTATTAGCTCTTAGTGAGGTTCGACCATCATGACGATGCTGTGTTGTTGTGCATTCAACTCTTTTGAACTCCTTACTTCTAAAAAGGCAACCAAAATATCTAAATAGCTAAAATAAAAAGCAGTGGCAACACCAAATTCTGGTAGAGGAACTGGATCATTCATATATTGCTGGAGGGGATGAAAACTGGTATAGCCACTCTGGAAAAGTTTGGTAGTTTCTCCTAAAACTAAACATGCGACGAACATATGACCCAACATCTGTACCTCTTGGGCATTTAACCCTCAGAAATGAAAACTGTTTACACAAAAACCTGTACATGAATGTGATAGCCCCAAAGTGGAAACAAACCAATGGAAACATTGCTGTTCTTCAATGGGTGACTAGTTAAACACATTGGACTGGGGCATGTCCATAGAATGAAATACTGCTGGGCAACGAAGGGGAATGAACTATTTGTACATGCAACAATCTGGATGAATCTCAAAGGACTGTTGCTGAGTGAAAAAAGCCAATACCCAAAGGTTACCTACTAGCTGATTCTATTTACCTGACATTTTTGGAAATGACAAAATTCTAGAGATGGGGAACAGATTAGTAATTGCTGAGGGCAGGGACAGGAGTGGGTTGGAATGGCAGGATTGGTTAGGGAAGAAGATGGGTGCAGTTATGAAAGGAGATCACCAGAGATCCTTGTGGTGATGGAACTGTATCTTGACTGTAGTGGTGGATACATTAATAAATTGCATAAAGTGAAACACACACATACAAATAAATACATGTAAAACTGGGGAAGTAAGATTGGTGGATTGTATCAATGTCAGGTGCCTAGCTGTGATAATGTACAGTTTTCAAGATGTCACCATTGGGATAAAATAGGTAATGTGTACCAGGATCTCTCTGTTATTATTAGTTACAACTGCATGTGAATCTACAACGATCTCAAAAGAAAAAGTTTAATTAATTAAAAAAGCATTGCAAGGTATTCCAAACAAAAATCAAAACCAAACCAAGCCAAAGGCAACCAAAGCCAGTTAGCTTGTTTCCTGCTGAGCCTTACCATTAGCTTATTTATGTATGAGTTCAGACCCACACAGACCCCTGGGACCTTTGCCCTATGAGCATTGCCAAGCCAACCCCTTCCCCGTTCTGCCTGTTGACCCTCGAGCCTCAGAGTTGGAGGAGATCCTAAGAACACTCTGACCCACCCTGAGCTCCCAAAGGTCCAGGCTAAAGCTGGATCCTGGTCTTTAGCCTCTCGAGGAAGGGCAGTCCATGGGGTTGGGGTGAAGCAGGGGACCCAGGAGATTAACCATTGCTTCCTGAAGCCCAGGGCTATCCTGAGCCTCTTTGAGATAGCAGGTACTTCCACATTACACAGCTGTAGACCCCTGCCAATCTTTCCCTGTGGCTCAACGGCCTGCAACTAGCCTTGCCTGTTGGTTCACAGATGGGCTGCATTTACATTCCCTGCCCATCCGCCTCCACGCTCCTTTCTCTTTGCTATTGGGGGTATAGCATCTTTGGCCAGCTCCTTTTTTTTTTTTTTTTAAATTTCTTGAGCACACTGTAAATTCTGGAATGTGTATAGAACATTTTGCAGGTGGGAAAACAGGTTTAGGGAGGTTCAAGTGATTGTCCCAAGACCCTTTCCATCCGCATCTGAGAATCCATAGGGTCTGTGGTGACCTGAAGACCAGTTGGTTTCTGACTCTGAAGTTTTGTTGACCTCCTGTTGTCCAAGACACGTGAGACCAAGAGGTGTGAATTTGTATCTTTTTAAAAGGTCATCCAAAGAGGGAAACTTCAACTAAGATTATGTAGGTCCCAGGAGGTCAGTAGTTATCAAATTCTTTGGTCTTAGAATCAATAACTTTATCCCTTTAAATTGAGGATCCCAAAGAGCTTTTTTAAAATGTGGATTATATCTGTCAATATTTATCATATTATGAATGAATACTGATAAATTTTAAAAATAGTATCAATTCCTTAAAAAAAAAACCCATTATATGTTATAACAATATAACAACTGTTAACATATTTTTAGTAGACTGTTATAAAAATATAACATTTATATAAAAATATATAACATCTTGATAAAAAATAACTATTTTCAAAAATAAAGGAAATATAGTGAGAAAAGAAAAGTGGCATTGCTTAAAATTTTGCAAATTTCCTGGGGCTTAGTAGCTGGATTCTCATATCTATTTCTGCATTTAATCTATTGCAATGTCACCTGATTGCCCCTTATTGCACAATTTCATCCGTTGTAATGTTACCAGTCACCTGTCATGTAGCTTTGGGAACTGTTGTCTACTCATAAAATCTGAATAGTAAGGGATAATAACATCTTAGTATAGTTATGAAAATAGTTTTGACCTTGTGGACTTCTTCACAGGGTCTCAAGGATTCCTCATGAAGTTCCTGGACCACAGTTTGAGAACCACTACAGTAGTATGTTATATTCTCTGATCTCTTTCTAGCCTGTCCCTCCCATCTCCATAACAACTTGCATCCCGTAAAGAGCAGAACAAAAGAGGCTTGAGCAGAAGTGCCAGATACTAATATTTCTGAGGGTTTGGCTTTTATTTGCATGCTCTTATAGTCTACAGATTTTCTGGGTTCTGCATCCGCTATCATGTTTAAGCTCCCATGCACCCCTTCTGGTTCCAGCACCAATATACCCAAATCTTAAAGTACCATGACTTTCTATAAGAAAGCTGGAAGGACATGGCTCCTGTTATGTGGCTGTGGCTGCAGAGGCAGGCAACCACCACTATCTGGTAGAACTTCCCACGAGGATGGAAATGTGTGTCTTTGCCATCCAGTATGGCAGCCACTAGAAGCTATCGTGCACTAGAAATGTGGCTAGTGCAACTGAGGAACTGAATTATTTTACTTTATTTTAATTAATGTAAACGTGAATAGCTATATGTGGCTCCTGGCTGCAGCATTAAATAGCATAGCCAGACCGTGCTGGTGTTCGCAGGCCACGGTAAGGATTTGCACTTTTGTCGGAGGAGCAATGGAAAGAAAACCTCTAAAGGGTTTTGGACAAGGGGCAGTGAGGTGACATCATCAGGTCTGAGTTTTCGACCCTGACAAATGTGTGCATCTGTGTCTCTCTCCCCACCACAGGCCCCACCATGAGGCCTCAGCCCCACAGGAGCCCCCGCGCTCCCCTGGCCCCCCACGCCCCTTGCTAGCCCCGAGCCAGGGCGTGGGACGGCGCGGTGGCCATGGCCAGCCACGTGGACTTGCTGACGGAGCTTCAGCTGCTGGAGAAGGTGCCCACGCTGGAGCGGCTGCGGGCGGCCCAGAAGCGCCGGGCCCAGCAGCTGAAGAAGTGGGCGCAGTACGAGCAGGACTTGCAGCACCGCAAGCGCAAGCATGAGCGGGAACGGAAGCGCAGTGCCGGAGGCCGCCGCAAGAAGGTGTCCTTCGAGGCCAGCGTGGCCCTGCTGGAGGCCTCCCTGAGGAATGACGCCGAGGAAGGTAGGCCCCTCCTGTGCCTTGTCCGCTGCGCGGCCTCAGCGCCAGGGTTTGGATTCCAGGTTCCTTGCAGTAGTGTGTGTGAGGTGGGTCTGCAGACCCTCTTCCAAGTTCAGGCAGCTCCAGACTTCTTAGGAAGTGGATATTCCTAAGAAAAGCTTTGAATTTATCTTACGCTTTTTTTTTTGATTTTGGTAACAAGGATTCCAGCCTTTGGCTAATAAATACTATAATAATTTCCCTTCCCTTTCACAGCATATTTACTGACAACTTCTTGTGCTTTAGTATTCTGAATGTAGTGGTGGGCACATTGGATCTGATTTCTCCCCTACAAGAGCTCAGTACTCACAGGATCTTGCATTCATAAGCCCCTCCTCTATGCCAGACCCCATGCCTGGTGCTGCCTGGGTGCTGTTCCATTTTATTTAGCCTTCACTGCAGGCAAAAACGGCGTGGAGCATTGGTGAAGGGCATAGACTCTGTTAGACTCCCCAGGTTCATAGGGACTTTGTCAGTTCCCTGTGTGACCCTGGCATAGACAAGTCACTTTGCTCCCTGTATTTAGTTTCTACCTCTGTAAAATGCTACTAGTAGTAGTGTCACCTCAAGGGCTTCCTGTGAACATTAAATTAGATAACACCTGTGAAGTTCTTGAACGTGGTCCCTCATACTAAGTGGTTATTAATATGTTTTATTATGTTTTTAATATGCTTTATTTTATTATATTTATAGCATCATAAGCTGTCCATAAAGTCTTGAAACATAGGCAAATATATGCAATACTGTCTAGGACATTTTTACTCTATAAAAAGTGAATGAATAAATAAATGTAAACATGTACACACACTCATACAATCTATGCTGTCAGATTTTATGGATACCCTGTACTTGTTATATTTTATTTAATTATACTATTATTATGTGTCCCATGATCCACATATCACAATATTTAAGAACCGTATATAATAACACCCTTTTGCAGATGGGCAAACAAGCTCAGAGAGGTTCAGAACCTTGACTGTGGTGACGGAGCGAAACTGGAACCCCAAGGGTCCAAGCTCTGGTCACTGCCCTCATGGCTTTGTACATTTGCTCCCCGCTGTGAGAATGAATGGCAGATCCCTGAGTTGACCCTCTTCTTTGGGCATGTTCTGAGGGGGCCGTGCCTGCTCACTTGTGTAGCTTGTGCATGTGACCTTTGTTACCTCTGCAGCCTCTGGTCCATCCTGTGCATAAGCCTTTTTAGCTGCCCCTGGAGAAGCACTGCTGTGTTTGCTGGGTCCCTCAGCACATGCTCCAGACACGTGGTGCTAAAAGCAGTCAGTGAAAGAACTGAGGGGTGGCGGCACTCAGGGCATAAGAAAGTGTTGGGTTTTATTGTGGCTCTTCAGGTTCTAGAACTCTCTGACAAGCATAATTCCATTTCCACCCTGGTTACAGAAGACTCTGGGAAATGAGCAGAGAGACATTCCGGGCACCACTCAGCTGGAAATGGCTCAGCCGAGAGTCTGGGTGCACAGCCTCAGGAGAGAGGCTGCAAGCTCAGGCTCGGGGACATGGCCCTGGTAGGCTCCTTCCCACGTGTGGTTTGCGAGTGACGTGGCAGCCCCTTCCCACTCAGTGGGCGGCTCATCATGATGTCTCACAGGTGTTGGGGGCGCGGTTCATCAGCTCGTTTCCCCCACTCATTTACTCCCTTCTTCCCTGACAAAGCCCAATCTCCCCCTCCCTGAGGGGCTTTCTAGACGCTCTGAGCTGCCTGTGCTGCTTCGGAGCATACACCCCCCAGCCCCTGCCCGGGCCCTGCACCTTCGTGCCTGCCCTGTGTACTACTGGCTAGAAAGAGCACTGGGCTTGGAGTCCAAGGACCAGTGCCCCTCAGCCCTGCCTGTGACTTTGAGCAGCTTGTTTCATCTCTATGGCTCCACTTCTTTAATCTGTAAAATGCGATTTTGAACACTTGCCCTCTGGAGGGTGTGGCAAGAATTAGACAAGATCCTGGATGTGACAGGTCTTTGAAAAGTTACCCCAAGCCCTGTACCAGCACGGTGATAATTTTAACACACTTTTTCTTTGCGTTTTTTTTTTTAACCAACTTTAATGTTTTTAAGAACCCAAATATGCACAGACACATTCTTCTTATAAAAATCAAACAACACAGAAGTGTACGACATAGAAAATCCCTCCCTTCCTTCCTCCCTTCCATCCTTCCTTTCATGATCACTACTGCTGTTATTTGATGTGTTTCCTTCCAGGCATTTTTCACATTTACCTATGTATTTGTGGACTTGGAGAAATACAGAGTTGGTTTTGTTTTTAGTTTTTATATAAGCAATGACATCCTAGATACATTGTTCTGCAAGTTTTGTTTTTTTTCACTCAACAACATAGCTTGGAGATGTCATCATGCCAGAGTACGTACAGTGTCATAGATCTGCGTCGTTCTTTTCAACTGCTGGATAGTAGGAGTATTTCGTAGTATGATTCACTAGCATTTTTGAATCCATTCCTTATTGATGAGCATGCAGGTTGTTCCAGTAGTTTTGCTTTTGCCACAGTGAATGTTTTGTGCACACGTGCAAATGTTTACCTAGGACAGATGTGGACAAATGGAAGAGCTGGATCAGAGGATATTAAATGTGAGTGAGAAAAGTGCTAGACCCTGTGGGCTGGTCGCCCTAGCCCTGAGGACAGTCAAGTGAGGGTGGAGGGACCAGAGTGCTATGCTCTGTGGCAGGCCATGGGGGTGGAGTGAGAGGTGCTCCTGGGGTACAAAGGGTTTGGGGAGGTGTGAGGCTGCCATCAGTCAATCAGTCAGCCCTTGATGTCTCTGGGCTGTGCTCAGCTTCCTGGCAGCATGACAGAGCCCGTGGCTCCCAGCTGGCTGGGGACAGCTTCTGCTTGCTGGTGGAGCTGGTGTTCAGGAGGCTTCTTCGGTGGGATGGGAGCGTGGGGAGGTAGCTCCCGCACTTCCCTGAGCTCACAGCAGCCCCTGAGTCAACCTCGTCCACCTGCCTGGGGAATGTGAGTTTTTCCCAGAGAAAGGCAGCACTGGGAACTCACTGAATTTCCTCCTCTGGCCCTGCATTGCTGTTAGGCTAATGTCCTTGACCTGGGACCTGCCTGAGTCCACTGTCACAGCTCCCACTGCAGCACCCCCTGCTGCAGCCAGCTCCAGCTCCTCCTGGATCCTCCCATATGGCCTGTGTTCTCTTGCCTCCCCACCTTTGCACGTGCGGTTCCCTCTGTCTGAAACACCCTTTCCCTAACTCCTAAAACACTTCAGGTTTGGGTCCTTTGTGTGACCACCTCTGGGGAGCTATCCATGAGCCTTTTCTGCACCCTCACCCCCATCACTAGTTAGAGCAGCAACTCAGTACATAGCTGACATTTACACTGAGGGGCTGTGTAGTGCTGTGGCTGGGAGCACAGACACTGAAGTTCGTCCTCCAGGATTCAAATCCCAGTTGTAACATTTATTAGCTGTGCAATCTTAGGAAAGTTACTTAACTTCTTGGTGCCTCAGTTTCCCCATCTGTAAAAATGAGGATGATAATAATACACCTGCCTCATAAAGTTATCAGATGGCTAAATTGAGTTGGTCAAAGTTAAAGTTTATTGTAAGAACTATATAAGTGATAAAAAAAATTGTTGTTATTCTACATTTATATAATCTATTATATATTCTCACTGTCACCATTACTATTTATCAGGTGCTTACCTTGTACCAGGCAGTCTGCTTTTCATATGTTATCTCAGTTAATCCTCAGAGCAACACATACTGAGGTTTAGCGTCCAACCTCATTTTTTAAAAACAGCTTAGAGTATAATTAACGTATCATAAAATTTGTGCATTTTAAGTGTACAGTTCAATGATTTTCACTAAAGAGTTATACATCCATCACTACAATTCAGTTTTAAAACATTCCCATCACCCCAAAAAGAAGCCTCTTACCCATTTTTAGTCACTTCCAGTCCCCTCCCCTGGCCCCCAGCCCCAAGCAATCACTGATCTACTTTCTGCTTCTATATATTTGCTATTCTGGACATTTCATCCACATGGAATCATACAGTTCCAATGATCTTTTGTGATTGGCTTCTTTCGTTTAGAGTAATGTTTCATGCTTCGTTCAGGTTGTAGCCTACATTAGTGCTCCATTCATTTTTATCGCCCTGTAGTATTTCAACATTTTGTATATAGATATACAACATTCTGTTTATCCATTCACCGATTGATGAACATTTAGATTATTTCCATTTTTGCTTATGAAGAATAATGCTGCTAAGAATATTTGTGTGCAAGTCTTTGTGAGGACATATGTTTTTATTTCTCTTGGGTAGTTACCTGGGAATGGAATTTCTAGGTCATATGGTAAATTTATGTTTAACTTTTTAAGAAACTGCTCAACTGTTTTCCAAAATGGCGTATGGTGTTACATTCTCAAACCCTATTTACAGATGAGGCATTTGAAACTCAGAGAGGCTATGTCACTTGCCATGGCCCCATAGCTTTTAAGTGTCAAACCTAGGACTCAAACCCAACTCAGTTGTCTCTGAATCCCATGCTTTTAATGCCAGGCAGTCCTGGCACCTCCTGCTTTTTGTTTTCCCTAGAAAACAGGAGAAACACTCACTTGTGGTTTTGCTCAGTGTTTCTTTTGGCCTTGTGGATCCTAGTGTTTCTGCTGGCCTCTTGGGCTCTTTGTTTTGGGGACCCCTAGATAAGCCCTTTATCTCAAGCTCTAACTTTTTTCCAGGCCATGACAGCCCAGTCTCCCTTGAAACCACAAAATACATGTTAAGTTGTTGGGGTTTCTGCTTTTCTCTCAGAATGTGGAGGGTTTTCTTTATGGAAACTCTGTTCTCATTCAAAAAAAAAAAAAAATGTTTGAGTGATTCTTCTGTACTCTAAATTTAACTCTGTGACTGTTGTTCTCATGGTAAATGTTTTCAAACTTGTTTTTTAAGTAGTGGAAATTTTTCTTCAAATAAAATATTAGGCA